GGTGGCGTTCAAACCTACAAACTCACTGAGGGACAAGCTCTGTAGGCTAAAAGACCCGGTCGACCCAATTAAACAAAATAATATAATTTACAAAATGCCTTGCAATGACTGTGAATTAAGTCAGCTATATAGGTCAAACTAGTAGATCGGGAGTAGTGAGATCGTCAGAATATAAGAATTTAGCTGAGGTTAGAATAATTGACCCCACCCATAAAGATAGGTAATCTAGAGAACGAACTCAGCAATCGGACTGCATGCATTAACACACAGCCACACAATAGAGTGGGTGGGACAGAGTCAAAATTCTGAAAAGTAATATTAGTAGATGGAGAGAGGGAGGTTGAATATTGATTCCTGGTTCATCGAATAATCTACACCCAACACATGCAACAGAAATGACTCATCACTGATACCTGAAATATGGAAAATAATACTACTAATCAAATCAAGAGATGATAAATAGTGGAGCCATATAAACGAAGTTGGAAAGTTGTGTCTTGATATGATTATGAGCAGTAATAAATTGTGCTCAAAACGTGGTCATCAGTTAATATTACTGTATAACACTGTGTGATTTATCAAAATAAAATCTTATCTATAATGGAGTTATACTCTACCATAGTGCCCAAGTCTTATACTTATATTCTCAATGGAACTCCAGTCAATTTCGTCCCGTAATAAGTCACTAGTTAGCCTCAGATCAATTTTCAAGTGTTAGTTTGTAGGGATTGGGATTTGTTTCAAGCCTGATAATGGATTGATGTTAGTATGAGAACCACTGGATTGATAGAAAGAAGTTAGAACTCATGAACCAATAGCCTCCCTCCCAGTGGCCAAATGGTACATACAAGCTCGCCTTGTAACCCTAATTTCATGAGTTCGATCGCTGATGGTGCACGTACTACTGAAGAGTCCCGAACTAGGACGAAACAGCCATCCATGAATTCTTGGTTTTTAAATGGTTCTCTAGATGATATCCCTCCATGGTCAAACCTGAGGCAAATCAAATCCCTACAAATTAAACCTTGAAAATTATTTATATTTATAAGCCATTATGTATAGAGTAAGGATTTGTTTTCTAGCTTTTTTTAATGAATTACTTTGTGATTACAGTTTATTGAACATTTAACCATACATCGATAATATTCCACCGTCTAGGAAATAGTTTATTTTAAGACTCAGGCAATCAATCAATAAATCTTCAGAAATTCAAACCCCAATATACATGTTTAAGAATGAAATCCACTTTTGACTGAAAGTTATTATACTATCTGTTTTCTTATTTCAAAAAGACTTCCTTAAAGCAGACTTCTTTTTCCGGTTTTCTTTTTATAGAACGTGACGAAATTTCCCAGTATTGATTTCTATTATTGAGAATGAGTCGAGACATGTGCTACTGGTGGAAACGTTTGAATATGAGACTGGTTATTAATCTCTCAGAAGACTTCACCATCACAATTTGAAAGTGATCAGAAATGACGTTCATTTACTTGAAATCTAAATTACTTTAATTATTTCTTTCTTTTTTGATTACAGCTTGATTCCACACCGTATTTTCAGTACAGGCATGGAATTTTCAGCTTGGATATCGATAGCCCAAATGTTGCAAGCCGACCATAGATATCAGGTGTGAGCCGGCAGGGGATCGAACCCCGGACTATGTGCATGGTCGGCGAGAGTCCTAACCGCTGTGCCACCGACGCAGTGTAATGTATTCAAATATTTAAAATTTACTGATTTTGCGTGGAGTTAACTTAAAAAATGATAAATGAAGATCATTCCTCAAGGACTTGGTATCTCATGACACTTACATGCATGAGGCTATATTGAGCATCGATGGTTCAGCGGTAGAATGCCCGCCAACCACGCCTCACGTGGCCCGGAGTTCGACCCCCTGCCGACACACTCCCAGACCTTGCTAAACAGACAGTGAGGCTGGTAGAGAGAAAAAGTCGAGCATGAAGATAGCCACCTCACCCCGCTGTAATAATATAACCACCGCTACCGGAACTTCAAGGCTCAAGCTTGAAACCCTGGGTTCCACTTGTAATATAAAGAATTAACAAGAGACTATATTTTCCATTTCTAAGGGTAAAACACCACAATTTATAAGGATTGACTAAATTTAGTAATAAATCTCATTACATGCTTGACTGCAATTATTTATAGTCTGGGCAAAAACTGTTTATGTTCCTATCTATTCTTGTTTTCGATTTACCGTTGATATACCTGACGGCACTGGACACCTTCACTTTGGTGTATCAGTTCCTTGAACTGATGCCTCGATATCATCAGGATTAAGGACTTGAAGTTACCTGTTTGGTGGTAGCTAACATGAGAGTCCGGGGTGCGTGTCACCCCCGCCCCATTTGGGACTCATCAGCTGAACTTACTTGTTCCGCAGTAAGTAATCATGTCACCACTGAGTTTTGAACCCACTGCCAATCGCTTCAAACGCTAAAGGGTGGCTAAGTGGGCTCGTGAATAACGTGTTTGAAGCAACTGGTAGTGGATTCAAGTATGTGTGGGAACATGACCACTCACCTGGGAGCGCACAAATTGAGCTGACAAGTCCCCAATGGGACGAAACACACATGCTGAGTACTACTGTTAGGTGTCAAAAGTAACTTCGAGACTACAATGGTGGCTTTATTGAATGCAAGCACTTTGAATTTTTTTCAAAGACTACTAATGGTTCAGTTCATATATGAACCAATGTATCACGCCTTGATTTTTCAACAAATTGGAGACTGTCTACATCGATAAGACACAGACGGTAAACGAAGACAAATTAGACAAGAGGACACCACTTCACCGTATAGCGACACTAAAACAAACTTAGACAAATTCAAATATAAGACTGACATATTTTATAGCCTTTACAGCATATGGACCAAAACTCACTTGTAAAATGACTATAATACTGTCTAATAATGATTAGCTTTAAGAACTAACACGGTAGTTAAGGTTATGATTTGTGACATGCGCAATCAGTAATCATGGACTTGGTGTAACAATACTAGAAAGACGTTAAACTTGTAATACGGTCTACTTTTGCAAACAATGGTTTGAAAGAGTTACATGCCTAGATTAAAGATCTGTGTTCTTAATTCATGACTTCCAGTTAAATAAAGATTCGTGTAAAGCAATTAACTCACTGTATATTCCTAATTATTGTGGACTAAATTATGTGGAACATAGTAAGTGGGAAGCGATAAAACAGGAATATGTTCGACCGATAAGAAGACTATAGAAGATGTGAACTTCACCTACCATTTATGTCTAATGTCACATAAACTAGAAGACCTACAGGAAAACACCAACAAACTGACGGAAGAAACAGCAAGGACAAGACTTCAAGTAGACATAGAGAAGACGGAGGTAATGAAGATAATCAGCCAACCAACCAAAAACAACCAGCACGAATCACTATCAACGGTGCAAACTTGAATGAGGTCACTTCCTCCAATCTATCTATCTGTCTTCTATCTCCCGCGTGAAGTGGTATAATAAGGTGAGCAATATTGAGGTTAGGCCTTAGTTGAGTGCTAGGTAAACAGGGGAAATCAATCGACGAGACTGTGAAATTACATCGATTGAGATGGTTAGGGCATGTGTTACGTATGCCTAGTCATTGACTTCCTCGACAACGGACAATGTAAGCTGAAATACGGTCAGTCTGGAAAAGAGCTAGCGGTGGTCAAAGCTAACAAGGCCTCATCAGTCAATGAAATGCACAACAGTCAGTTTAAGCCAGCCATCTAGGGAGATGTAGACTTGCTGGTTTGGGTCCTCGGGACGGTAAAAACCAATGGTTGGAAACAATTGGTGACATGGCTCAAAATCGTTATCAGTGGCGCAGGTGCATCCACTCCTTGTGCCTTATGATTTCCGTTATTACTATTCCTTTGTCTCACACCTCTGTTTACTGACTGTATTATGCATTCCTTCTCTTGCTTTGTGTGCTACATGGAGTGTGACGACTTGAACTGCCGCACATATGTGCAAAGTTCTATGTCGAAAACAGACAGACTTCCTCCAATTGTTTACACACCAGAATTTCAACTACAGGCGATAGAACGGGTGAAGATATGAAAAATAGAACTGCAAAGGCACGGGGAACATTCATCACTCTGAAGTCAGTTAGGACACCTGTTTCACTCAGCATAAAGTCCGAAATTCGGATTTTCAACACCAGTGTCAAGTTATTGAATGCTTCTATATTTTTATTTTTATTTTTTGATTATAGCTTGATTACACACCGTATGCTTGGTACAAGTATGGAATTTTCAGCATGTGATATCGGTAGTCCAAATTTCGCAGGCCGACTGATGATATCAGGTGTGAGTCGGCAGGGGATCGAACCCAAAAACCATGCGCATGGTCGGAAAGAGTCCTAACAGCTGTGCCACCGACGCACATGGGTCAGAAATTTGGCGAACTCCTCACTAAAAACATTTCCTACAGCCCACTGAAGACTTTTATTAGCAACTGCCTTTGCTTGCTCCATACTGAAGACCAAATGGTGGACCAGCAAGAATTAGCAACAAGAAACTCTGGGAGCGAGTCAATCAAGAACCTATTGCTCAACAAATATGTAAAAAAAAAGTGGAGATGAATTGGATAAACCCTGAGAAGACCGTTGGGTGACATCACACACCAGGCTACCGATCGAGTATAGCCTGGATGGCAAACGACGAGTTGGGCATGTGCCCGAGAGTAACATAAGGGAGATCGTGTAAGTTGGAGGAGATTAATGCTTATGGACAATCGCAGGGCCTGGATGAAGAGGACTGCAGAGAGCAGCACAAAATGGAGATGTGATATTGAAGCCCTATGTTCCACTGAGAACCTAAATGAACAGCGATAATAATAATAGTATTCCTATTATTCAGACAAATTTTAAACGTTCCCTACCAGACGTATCATAACACCATGTAAAAATGATAATTACTATTTTGCAAAACAAAATAAATAGTAGAAAAAAAAATTAAACTCACTGCTCTATCAAAATTATTCGTCTTATTCATTAAACTGTGTGGTATTCTTAAGTCAGTTGTTGAAGCCACTAATGATGGACTTGATATATTCTCCCATCTGGAGGCTATTTCAAGTGCAGCAGAAGTTTTCTCTTCTTTGGTTTTTTGTGGATCAAGTAGGATAGCTTCATAAAATTCTTGTATATCTACAATGTTTATATATATATTGCAGTGTGAGAAAGAAGAAATTAACAATTGTGAGCAGTGGTTTTATTTACTTAATAACTCTAATGCATGTGTGGATAAAATATAAATATCCGTGACTATTCTTCTGTAATGATAGAATAATAACAAGAAGTAGCCATATTATGGTAGATAAAAACATGGAGCAACTACAATGGAAAAAAAACAAATAGCACCAACCCACAAACATCCCATATAAATTATAATCCTTTACCTTAAAAAGGTTACTTTATTGACAATTAATGTTGCAGCATCATAAAAAAATAGTTACTTGCTCGTAAAACATAAGCCAATGGTCTAAGTTAAGTGGTCTCATCAATTTTCAAAAGGGTGGAATTCTCTTAACTTGTCATTTTTCATCAGTCGGTCGACGAAGAGAACAAATGTGTGTATGTGGATGCAAGCAACTAAGCCATCTAGTCTACAAAACTATATCTTCTCCTAAGCACATCTAGATTGTTTGGCAGGAATTGTCTAACGGATCAACAACAATATGTTGTCTAGAAGGACGACAACAGCTTCGCAATTAAATCGACCAGCTCAGAGAACTTGCCTAGTTCAACAATATACTGTTTAATTAAAGATTTAAAGCAAGTAGGCATAACGTAGACAGTTTCTAATAGTTTGTTTCTATGGATTTGATTTATTTCAAGTTTGACCATGGATTTATATCATTTAGAGAACCAGTGACAACCAACAGGGAGTATTGGGCGGCTGTTTAGTCCTACTTCTAGACTCGTCGGCAGTACACTTTCACCAACCGGGCTTCCACCCGAGGACTAAACAAGGCGAGCACGTAGACCATTCAGGCGCTGGGACCCGATCTAACAGCCAGCGCATGAATTCTAAATTCGACCAAATTCTGATTTTAGCACGACCAGTAGCAAATGTTAGCACACAGCTTTATTTTTATCTATGTTTTATTTCTGCACTGTAGTGAATTCGCGGGTCTTCTATTGATATCTTTCGTTAGTAATTTTCTTCATCATTTCACCTAAAAATTATTTTGCTCAATGTCAAAGTAAAGCATTTCGCTTTTTGAAATTGATTGATTTTTAAAACTAGTTTACTGTCTAAGAAAGCAAATGACCAGATTATCGTATCTCACCTAGACGACTACGAATACTCCCATATATAAAGAAAAATAATTTTATTCAATTCATCAATCTAACAATACTTTGCCTACACAATAGCATATTTCAAAAACAACACAGATACAGAAGCGTGCCGATGGTTTGGAGGTAGAATTATCACCAGTCAAGCTTCATGTGGTCCGGCTTCAAACACTGACAAAACCACTCCCAAACTATATTAGGCTGATACTAAGCCTTGTAAAGAGGAAAGGTTGGACGTCAGCCTTGTAATTCTTTCATAATTAATAATGGCCGCAGATATCAGAGAAATTCATTTTTAACTAGAGCCAAACGGCAAAATAGTTCAGTCAACCGCTTAAATCAATTATGTGCAGAATTAAACATACATATAATTCCTCTTCGCATGAAAACGAACACATGAGAGGTAAATTACTCAACGACACAACACAAACACACAGTATGGCTCACCTAGTAGGCTTAGAAACAGTCTGCTTTGAAATACATTCATCAACCGATTGAGAGCTTCGACCAATAATCCATCCTTCTGACTATCTAAGCGATTACGATAGTCTGATAGCTGATTCAAAGCAAGGTGTGCATCTATAATTCAATAAAGTAATTCACATTTGTATAAAAAGATATGTATTTATTTTGTGATTACAGAACACGTCATTAAAATCTTGAAGGGCAAACATTTGTAAAGTGCTTTAATTGTGTCAGCTCGGTCAAGCACTTCAAAACTATGGTTCTGTCACCTCAATCAATTCACATACTTCGTTCTGAATGACTTCTTACTGTGAGGAATGGTAACCCGAAAATTTGTGTCATTATGCTGCGCTATTCACTGAATAGGCACTCAATTGTACCACTTTGTAACACGTAATAACCGTTTAGTTATGTCGGACGAGAAAAATATTCGACACGTCAACTGAATACAAAAATGTTTATTCCATGTAGTATAAATTCTATTGTGATGAAGTCAACAAAATACTGACCTAGAGTCAACGAAGAGAACTCTTTACTCTATTACTACTTTTCCCTGAAAAACTTGTTTCAAGATATGTATCCAGCTGATAAATGTATTCCCAAATAAAATTCATATCCACCACCCATGAACTAATCTCCTCTGCTCAACATAGTAATAAAAGTTGCACATCTTTCGAGTGCCTTTTGGAATATCAGTGATAAAATATTGTAGGATCAGCTGGTAAATTCAAGTTGATTCGTAGAGTTGTCGCTATCAATATCTTCGACGGGAAGTCACGAAACACAGACCTCGACGTGTTATTATGTTATAGTCTTAAGCAGTACAGAGAATGCTAAAAAGCCACAAACCACTTTCGCGTTTCCTACTGTTGTTATCGCTATCTCAAATCCACATCGTAAAGGAAATGACGAGTGAGTTTAGTGTTCTGGAAACTCATGAACAAAATTTCTCTTTTTATTGTCTGATGTTCATCCTCAGACAAAATGAGTATGTACATACTTCAAAGACTAAAGGAGAGGTAGTTTTACTGAGTTTGGTGCTTGAGTGGTACACATCGGAGTCCCGCAGCGCACTTCTAAACAACACACCGGAGGATTCATCCCATGAAGTACAGAAATTTAATCCAACTTAAAACCCTAAGTCATATTTACATACGTGAGGTAATATGCCAAACATACCCGCGCTTATGATGAACAAGCTGGATGACGAGAAACGTTGCTTCAAAAAATTTACCTAAATTCTGAGGTGGACGTGGAGGGAGAAAACACACCAATGACAGTAAAACCATACCCTTCCTGCCGAATATTACACATGCCAAGTGAAATAAATTCGTCAGCTCCAAAGGTTCTCAGACATTTAAAGTACACCCTGGGCACGCTGCACTTATGTGACTAATAAGCTGTATAAACAACTGTCTTCACAATTCTAGAAACCCATTTGTGAAACGCATAAACTGATGTGGATATGCTAGAAATCGCAATATTTAATTTTTATTTCGCGATGTTGCGAAATAATCAACAATAGAGAAATGCTTCCTGGGATTTCGCAAAGAACTCGTTGAAGAGTCATTTAGTGACTTAAAGAACACAGACACATTAGGTCATGTTCACGATGATGGGAATCCCTAAGCGAAAAAACAAGTCTGAAGTGTGATTTCGAGAGTGTACCTTGCAATTAACTATAGAAACCGAGGTGAGTATTGACTCATTCAAGATTACCGAAGTGGTGAATTTAAGTGAATTAATGAAATTTAGCTGTAAAATAGTCAAGACAAAAAGAAACAAATTTTTCTCGGAGTTCAGAATTCGACACTATATATCTTAAGCACATCATCCAATCTACTGCCCAAGGACAAAACATAAACCAAAAAAATTTTACGACTCCTGGTAAACTTCTACTTCGACATATACTCATCATACATACAGAAAACCATACCTCTTTTGCAAACAACCATTTCTTCATGTTACCGCCTTTTTACATATGTACTGTAATATTTCGCTAAGTCATTTTAACAAGCCAACACACACTTTGATTTCAAAGGTTAGTTATGAGTGTTAGGCCACTCACAAAGACCAAGTTTGTCCAGTGTTCCATCAAACGAAAATCCGTGTTCATATATGCAGCTGAGGCGGTAGCTAACTAGGTTGGGAATGAGGATCACGTAGTAGTTCTGATTAGTGCTTTCAAGCATAACCACGTAGTGTCTCATAAACAAAACTTGCCTAAACGATGAGGGTATTCATTTTATGTTCTCTATGTGTCAATACTAGTATTATGGTAGATCTTGGTTGGTTATACTGTCTACACGAGATAATATATTTGTTTCGAAATTCCCTTGTACATCACATTGTGGGGGCTCCTATCATTGTTATACATCATTCGCTCCCTGTATCTGAGGTAACCTCGCCTCGTTTACTAGCCCATCAGTTTTCTGGTCGGTTCCAAGTACGGGAAAAGAGAGATGGTTGGGTGTGGGGCTAGCGTCCGTAACCTAGGAAATCAGTTCAGTCGACACTGAAAATTAAGAGCCCAAGAGAAATATAAAAACCTAGTCTCCGCTGTAATCGGAGAGGCAAGATGACGTGGGCTGGTGAAAGCATTTGTGACACCAGTCAGCCGAAGTGTCTTATTTCGATGAGAGCAAAATTAAAGGTGGGGATGTGGAATGTTCGCACAATGTACGAAGCTAGGAAGGTTGCCCAGGTTGCTGAGGAAATGGGAAGATTCGGTATGAAAGAACATTTCTACAGACAACTGAGAACGATAATGGATGACATCCAAAATGATGACATTGAAATCCTAATAGGAGATGCGAATGCCAAACTGGGAGCAGATAACACATGAAGGGAACTTATCATAAGTCGAGAGGCTCTCGGCGAAACGAACGAGAAGGAAGAACTCTTCGCAGACTACTGCGCTTTCAACGACTCAGTGATTTGAGGCAGCGTGCACAAGTTCAAGGATATACAAAAAGCGACCTTGGTTGCACTTTATGGGTACACCAAAACACCAGATAGACCTCATCTAAATCTCCAGAATGTGGAGATGCAATCTGCTGGGCACAAAGTCAAGAAGGGGAGCAGAAATTACTCCAAAACTATGGAGTGCCCTAAACCTTCATCAGTCTTATTCACGTGCTTTACGGCAATGTCACACGTCAACTAGTCAGCAATGGGGAACTCAGGTAAGCTTTTGAAATGAATGTAGTCGTAGGACAAGGCTGCCCATTATCACCGATGATATTCCTAATTGTGGTGGACTGGATTATGTAGCATACCCCACGTGGGGAGCGAGAGGACGGGAATACGCTAGACCAATGAGGTGACTCTAGAAGGTCTAGACATCGCCTACTGTTTATGTGCGGTGTCACACAAATCTGGAGGCTCACAGGCAAAATCCTGCAATCTAGCATGTGTAACGTGAAGTTATCTTTATATGCGTTGAGAATACTATGACCTGAAACCAATTAGAAATATGTGTGAGACAAACTGCCATTTCAGAAATTACTTTCTCTCCTGTTGACTATTGAGGAGGAAGTGAAGGCTCCCACATCATAAATTGTTGCAGTACAGAAGTGTACAGCTTCGAAATGTTGCGGGTTGGGACTTTTATAGTTTCAAATCTTGCAGCTTCAAAGTGTACGAAAGTACTGTTCCTCTCTTCCGCTGGACAGTAAGCAACTGGACCACAGTGAGAACCATAACCTCAAACGGAATTGAAATTAGACTGAATATACCAGGTCGCTACACATCCATTCAATAATAACAACTATGACACTCCCAGGCAATAAAAGGACCCATTCCTTTTTACGATTATGACCAACGTACAATGATATCTTGGACCATCAAAAACAAGGCTGATGTGGAAGGTAACACACTTTCATCCATAGACGACAACTCACTTCACAGCTCACAGTGAATCGAGCTCCAGCTGTGGCTCCTTATCAACACTTTGCGACACTCACCCCCCCCAGCCAAAGCAACTTTTGCAGAAACAAACATGACCACGGAAGCATCACGTGTTACTCTTTGCACAACCTCGTGCCTGATCAATGCCAGTTGTCACTGCCATCTCCTGTCATTTATTCGGCCTCAGTCTTAGTGACAGTGACGTACGCAAGCTTCAGGGGTTTACTCCCCAGACACTCGTAGTTTTAACAAGCATGTGTTTGTAAACATGCAGACTTGAGAATAGTGCAAGAACCGATTCGGAGCCCTCAGTGAAACGACTGTTTTACTGATGACTCCATGTGAACTGTAGTAATCCTACGGGCCTAAAATTGCACCTTTAAACACTTGTTTTACCTAATATAGCGTTCAAATGGACCGTTTTTGGTTCATTGGACTAGTGCACGTTTTTCTTAACTGTGTTCAGATATTGTTTCCTGATGCTTGGGTGCCAGTTAACCTCATCTTTGAAGGACAACGATCCCACAGATCTCCGGCAGTCTTTTATCCATATAATTCTGTTCGGAACGACTTGGTCAAGCCAATTTCGAATAATTTGGTATTGTTTTGGATTTCAGTCGAAGACTGCGAGTCCGTCTCCTCTAAAAGTTATTCATGAGGTAGCTGTAGCAAAGTTCTTCAAATCTGATTTGATCGTAACAATCATACACTTGCAAGAATTTTTCCCTGTGCCTAGATATTATGGCTCCTAAGAGGTTGCATAAGGAGAAATCACAGAAGCACAAAGCTGACAACATCCCAAGCCCTTGAAGCAATAAGTAAAGGAAATTGTCCTAACAGTCCTATTCAGCCGACGATATATCACTACTTCAGTTTACGGGGCGCCTCAACCGTCAAGCGCCTGGGCTCTCGAAATGGCCTCGGGGAAGAGCCAAGGGCATTTGAAAGTACATTGGAAGCTTTTAATTCAACGACACTTCTGAAAAAACGAATGGGTCGACAGAGAAAATCCCTCCCATAATTCGTGGTTACCCACTCCCGATAAAATGGTGGGACTATTTCGCATTTGGTGCCATCCAGTGGTCTCCTCAGATTACGTCTAATCCCTCCGCATTTCCTCTAGTGTATTTGTTGGACAAAAGGTTTTCGGTTGTTTCAAGGGGAGTAAGGTATTGCGTCAACCCAGTGGGACCTCAGCCATTTCGCCCTAAGCAATCAATATGTTCACCTGTGCAGACAATTGGATTTTCTAGGGACAAAAGGGCGGCCACTGTGTTGTGGTGTGATAATGAATCCCAGTATCCTCTTTATGTTGTCGTTAGTAAATACATCTTTAACAGCCGTATGCATAATATACCACCATCCCAACTGGTAGTGGTGGGAGAAGCTGCCTGGTCACCAGATTATGTGGACCAGGATAGAGAATAAGCAGTCAATGTAGCCATGGTGGTGGTCGTGCGTCTTATCTCGTCTCTGTTAACTTTAAGCCCCTGTGCTTAGTTTCACTTTTTCCTTTTCAGATCACAGGATATCTTTGCAGGTTCAACATTTTGGGGAAATACTATTCGAACATATACGGGCATTTTATTGTTGCATTCACCGATTGTGTATCTCTACTTTTGTGGACAGCGAGGTATTTCTTAAGGTGTGGTGTAGTTGTTTACTTATTCAGCAGGAGTCTTCTTTCTTTTCTAGAGAAGGGTCCCGACAGGCAGGTGAGTAATCACCGGTTTACCAGCCAGAGAGAGGTAAAATCCTGTCCCACCGACGTGGTTTTGGATAGCCAGCTTGCAGCAGTTCCTCAAATAGTTTCTTTCTCAACTTGTCTCCACTTAGTTGTCGTTATCATGTGGCAAGGTCAACTTCTAGGCTAGCGTGAGTGCATCAGCCACAACTATAATAATAATGATTTATATTTCGTATAAACGGGTAAGTTTACAAGAAATGCATGCCATTTTTACAGACACAATCAGTTATGTTATAAATTACAATCCTGAAGTATCGTAAATTAGGCTGGACTTATCCGGCATGTTGGTTGAAATTTCGCTCGGTAAATTTTTTTGTCAATAATTTTCAGTAAAATTGTGTTATATATTTTTTGAATTGATAGGAATTCTCATTTTCTGGCTAGTTATGTTGGTGTCCGCGTCATGTAATCTGACTGCGACACACTCTAAGCATATTGGTTGTAATGGTTAGTGTTTCATGAGGAATGAGTCAAAACATCGGTATAATGAAGAAGATGGGGTAGTTTACTTCTTGTAAAAGCTGCAGCTTTCAACATAGTGTGATTCAATGAAGACCACGTCAAAATGTGGCTATTTTCGTGTGAAGAACAGTACTATTTGACAAAAGAATGCTATCAGTACATGGGAATCACCTGTAAATGCTAACAGAACCTTCTTTTGGAACAGAAGTTATAATGTAGCCGTGTCTTTCACTGTATGTGTTTGGACAGGAATTATGGTAAGTTGAAAGGTTATCTCTAAGTGAATTTAACATATATTTGCACTGATTGATGCAGTGTAATATGGGTTATGTGAATTCAATGTATAGAAGAAACCTCTATTAATATTGTGCCATTGTTTGCTTAGCTGACTGCTAGGCTAAAAAATGTAGGTGGTTCTCGTGATTGTCGCAAGTACAGTGCATTTGAGAAGGGGTGATGATATCCGTTAGAGCGTGTTAAATTTTCCGCGCCTCAGGTTTTCTCGTCTTTCATTGGCTGGAACAGTGGCGGCTAATTTTATATTTAATTTGCCCTAGGTAGGTGATATCGTGTGCAGGTTTGTGTGGTTGAGGTATGCGTTGTTTGCAAGCATATTTGATGGAAATAAATGTAAAATTTGATTATTCTAACGTTTTATTTTACTTCTTTCGTGCATATACAAGGCTTGGTTTATCATATACTCTGTTTGTTGGCCTATCGGTTGCTGGCGATGTCAAGGAACCCGTGAGTTCTTGGGCTTTTCTCAATTTTAGGTTATACGTGTAGCATTTTATTGATGGATATTGCTAAGTGATGTATTTCCACATTGCTTTTTCTACGGAATCATATTTAAACAGTTGCGAGACAGATGGATACTTATTGACAAAGCCTTTTTAGTTTATTGCA